ACAGACTTTTGTCAGTAATTACTCTTTTTAATCTGCTGTCTGGTTTGCTGCAGTCACCATCTGCAATGACTTTGTAGCCCAAGAAAATAGTCTACCACTGTTACCCTTGTTTCTCCATCTATTTGCCATGGAGCAATGGGACTGGAGGCCATGATCTTTGTTTTTTCAATGTTGAGTTTTAAGCCAGCGTTTTCACTCTCCTCTTTCACCCTAAGAGGCTCTTCAGTTTTTGCTTTCTGCCATCACGACGGTGTCATCTGCATATGAGTTTATTTCTCCTGGCAATCTTGATTCCAGGATGGTATTTCACATGATGTACTCTACACGTTAGGACAATATACAGCCTTGACTCCTTTCCCCATTTGGAACCAGTCTGTTGTTCCATGTCCAGTTCTGTTGCTTCTTGACCTGCATAAAGATTTCTCAGGAGGCAGGTAAGGTGGTCTGGTATTTCCATCTCTTGAATATTAGGCCTCCCTCCCCAAACACACTACTACACAGGCTCAACATATATTTTCCCTGAACAGTACAGAAGGCATCACTTAAAATTTGCAATGTTGCCTTGATAAAGGTTGCAATTCATGACAACTTCTGGGAGTCCTCCCCTCCTCCAGGCTGCCTACAAGCTGTCACTTTGTGACCCCAATGAACTGTTGTCCACCAGGATACTCTGTCCATAGGATTATCCGGGTAACAATACTGGAGTGGGCTGCAATTTCCTTCTCTAGGGGATCTTCCCAACCCAGGGATTGAACCCATGTCTCTTGCATTAGCAGGTGGGTTCTTTACCACTAGCACCACTGGGAAACCAAGCTCTGGGTTAGGTAGGTATCCTTTAGTAAATCATACATCCTAACTCATGTAACACGTAACATTTTTAGTTGGGACTTTTAATTGTGATTTTAGTCACAAGTGGACCCTACCTTGAAGAGGTTAGGTCACAACAAACTACTGTCAGCCATTGTCAGCAACTCCAAAATGAGTTAGTCTTGGCCTTTAATTCCTTGAACTCCAAATGTTTAACTATCCAACAAAATATTATTTGCCACGTGCCTGGTATTGCCATAAGCACCTGTTTTTTCACTCATTTCTTATGATTCAAGATATTCTGAATATTCTCATTGAGGAGTCAGCTCAGATATTAGGTAACTTTGTAACTGAGCCATTATATATGGGCCAAATTAACCTAAAATCAACTCTTGGCAATTAACTGCCTTGGACCCAGGTAACTAAAGTCTCAAAAGCCAAGTGATGTGGTCAAAGAAAAAAACAAAACTCTTACTACAAATTCTCAGTCAAGTGTACCTCTCCAATAATATAAACACTTGAAATACTGCAGTAAAAGTTGCAGCATCACTTACAGAGGACGTCACTAACAGGTAGGGAAGCTGTCCATAGTCCACTTTTGTTTTATAAAATCTACCTTACATCTATGCATAGCCACCGTATTCATAATAGGTAGTCCCCCTTTTTTTTGGCTAAATGTTGAACAACAATGCTGACCTAAATTATTTATGAATTATCTAGCCACTGAATTTCTTCCCTCAAAAATGGAATATAAGTACCACTTTCTTATTTAGAAATCAAGAGCCAAGGATTGTCTTTCAAACTTTTATTTAAGGGCACTGATCCATGATGGATTTTAGATCTTGTTGAACGCAGCCACATCCATAGACTGTACATACTCATCGAAAGCAGTGATCTGCTCCTCCAGCATGTCTGTCCCAACTTTGTCGTCTTCAACTACACACTGTATTTGAAGTTTTTTAATGCCATACCCAACTGGAACTAGTTTAGCTGAAAAGAAGATCGAAAAAAATCTTAGAATTGACACAGTTGGAAACTATGCAGATGCCAGCGTCAAAAAGAGAAGACTAAACTCACAAGAGCCCCAGACCAAGCCGTCTGCTTGAATGCTTCTGACGCACTCCTCTAGTTTTGCCATATCGGTCTCATCATCCCAAGGTTTCACGTCTAATAAGATGGAAGACTTGGCGACAAGTGCTGGTTCTAAAAAAATTTAAAAAGTGTACAGGAAACAGCATTGTTCAAACAATTCCTTTTGTCCTACTCCAAGTCACTTAACAAATTTTAAATGTGTTTCTAAATGGATCATCTCCTTAGCCACACAAAAGTACAGAACACACACCTTGTGTTTGTCACACACATGCCCACTTTCTGTTGTGCTGAGAAAGAGGTGTTGAGTTGTGTGACAGTTTCTTTCCCACAGTGGAATGCCACAGCTGCTACCTTTAAGAACAGCTGCAGACCAGTAGCTGTGGAAGTTTTGAAGCTCTACTTCAACAAAATGGGGAGAAAAGGAAATTACTTTAGAGGTTAGTTTTTTAAAAGATTATTCACATTATGAAATCTATTAAGTCAATTAGACACGAATCATAAAATAACCCACTTTTGGCTTTCTTTGACTCATACTGGGCAAGGCGTTCTTCTCTTAGCCTCTTGGCTTCTTCACTTTCCTGNTATTTGAAGTTTTTTAATGCCATACCCAACCGGAACTAGTTTAGAAGAGCCCCAGACCAAGCCGTCTGCTTGAATGCTTCTGACGCACTCCTCTAGTTTTGCCATATCGGTCTCATCATCCCAAGGTTTCACGTCTAATAAGATGGAAGACTTGGCGACAAGTGCTGGTTTTTTGGCTTTCTTTGACTCATACTGGGCAAGGCGTTCTTCTCTTAGCCTCTTGGCTTCTTCACTTTCCTCCTCATCATCAGATCCAAAGAGATCAATGTCATCATCATCTTTACTATCTGTAGCTCCACTTTCTGTGGTGTCTTCCACATTAGCAGGGCCATACTTGCCCAAAGCTTTCTTCACTCCTGGCAGGCTTGAAAAAAAAATCAATCAACTATTACTAGGTCAGCATGATGTCCCCTTTCATATAAGTTCACATGAGAGGAACTTGTTTTCTTTACAATTAAAGAATCTCTTTTGTACTAAGAATTTACCCTTCAACTCTCTCTGGTAAATACCTGGTATATATGTTTAGCTGCTCACCCAACAAAAATCAATACCATGTGAAACATTATATTCAATATGGACAACGATATACTTTCAGAATGAGTATTTCTATTTGAGATTTCACTAAGTATGCTCAGTTCCATTCTTAGTGAACTGGAGTCTACCTCCAGTTCAAACTTCCATTTTGTTAGCAGTTTCAGAAGATTGGAGAAGGACTCGCTCATCCCACAGGTGGGCCCCCCCAGGTCAAAGTCAGGCACATTGGCAGGGCAGTATGGGGAAAAGCTGAATTGCTGTTTTTCATCAAGTAAAATTCATATTTCATGGCAAGACAAAATAAAAATTGAAAATAAAATTTTTCTTAGTTTACTTGAACCACCTCCCTCCCCTCTAGGCTGCATTGTATATGTGCATTAACCAACCCTCTTAAAGAAATATTTCTTCTTAATCTTGGATCATGATGAACCATGACTTGCTTTGCACTTGTAGATCTAGATTATATAAACTGTCATTAAATAATACATTAATTAATGTACGGCCTTGTCTTACTTATGTGGAGGGAAGAGTTGTCAGGTTTTGGAGGAGTTTTTCTGAGGTTATAATCCTCGGTGTGGCTTGAATAAAATTTTCTATTTCCTAGATTGGCCAATTTTTTTCTTCAGTATGGTTACGTTCTACCTGCTACGTGAAAAAAACGGGAGGATTTTGGTCTCTTGGCCCTTCTCAAGTCATGGAGAAATATCCCAACAAAACTAAAATATCCTGAACCCTAACTTGTCAAGTGGAAACCCCGAGTTTAAGCTCTGAAAGCATTCTATTTTTCAAGCAAACACAAAAATAATTTTACCTGGCCTTTTCCTTCTCATAAGATTTGATGTGATTATACCAACGGAGGGCATGACACAAGTCGGCAGGTGGTGGGCCGGAGACGGCTTCAAATACTGCCACATCTGCTTGTGATGGCACATACCTGGCGATGATACAAACGTAATTACACACAGTTTTATAAGGAGAGATACAAACACCAGCAAATGAATGACAAACGCTACGAACTCGCTCTTTCGTCACCGGGGTACCTAAGCTGCTTTGTCGTTTGTAAGAAACAAGCTTCTTAGGATCAGAGATCATTTATTTGGTTCTCCGCGATACCCTGAGACACTGAGACCTGTTTGCCACTCAGTAGACCTCTTCAGAAATTGCAATTGCTAACACGGAGCTACAGGCTTACATCTGTTAACCAAGCAAAGACGTGGAAAAACCTGGTGGAGTTAAGCATGCGGAAAAAGCACATTTTAACCCTTGTTCCCTCGCAACCCCTCCCCCGAGAGGGCCCTGGGACCGGGTTTCCCTTCCTCGAGCCGCAGCCGAGGCGGCGCCACGTGGCCCCACCAACCCGGCCCTGCCCGACCCGGGCCAATGCGCTCACCCCTCTATGTAACTCTTGTCCGCCAAGTAGTCGTTGAGCACCTGGAGGCCAGCGGGGCTTTTCAAGTCTCCAAAACCCATGGCGAAGGCTAATCTAGAACTGGGAGGCAGCCAAGAAAAAGAGGCGCGCAACCGGTCAGCGCCCAGCGCAAAAAGGAAAAAAGGGCCGCAAAAGGCCGGAAATCCCTTATATAGAAACGGAGGCGTTTCTCTCCGAGGCCCCCGGCCGCAGGTTAAAGGTCAAAGTACGTTAAGATTCTTCAAAGTAAAAAGCAAAGGCTCTGAATTAATGGCCCGCAATTTATCCGTTGGCCTTTCTTTGCGCTTGGAAATCAATTAATAAAATGGGTATTTCTTAAATTGCTACCTCCAAGGTTTTCGAAGACTCTAGGACCCGCCCTCTGGGGGTGCCGGAGATGGCCGAAAACGCTCGGCCTCAGCCGACAGGCCTCTTCCGGCGGAACTGCGGGTCCGAGCCGGCCCCCGTCACCCCCAACTCCACCCCGGCCTCCTCCCGGGTGCTACGCCCTCTGCCCCGCCCTCTGTTAAGGCGACGGAAGTTGCCGAACTCTATCAGCCGGAAATTGTCGAACTTGGGTTTCTAGTCCCTCCCGGCTTTCCGTTCTTCCAGGCCCGGCTGGCGGAGATACCCGAGACCGCCATACTGAATAAGCAGCTGGGCCTCTGAAGGGGTCGGTGTATTGCAGACAGTTCTGCAGGGTAGCCTCGTCGGCTCCAGGGAGAAGGTGAGGTCGTGTTTGGGTGAGAAGGCTGAGGTGCCCCAGCCCCTGCGTTTGTTTATTGAGGAGACTGTTTCCTTTGTCTCAGCCCACTCATTCTCCTCTTGTCCTTGACTTTGCGCCGCGTTCCACCCCGCCTCCTCGGGAACCCCCGAGAGCCGGCAGGTGAGGACTGTTAGGCAAGATCTCTGGTCTGATGGAGCAGAGAGTAGGAGGAAACCTGGAGGCCCTGGGGAACGCTGACCCGAGTGCACCTTGTGGGTGACCTTCCCTTTGCAGGGGAATACAAGACAGTCCCCTTCCTGGAGAGGACCTGTGTCAGTGACTTAGGCCTGAAGACTGAGCCTTTTCCCCCAAATTAACATATTCCTGATACAGGGCATCTTTGGCCGCTGTTGCCTTAGCAACTGCATGCCTTTTGTTTTGTGTTTTGGTTTTTTTCAAGGGCTGCATTGGGTAGCCCTTCTCCATTTTCACTGGTGGGGAAGAAAGGGACATTTAAACAGTTGGCCCAAAGATTGCACTGCAAATGACAAAGCTACCTTGTTTAATTTTGGGGGATCTAATGCATGTACATGTACTATTTCTGTTTCTGAGCGTATAGAAGATGTAACATAAACTGTTTCTGATGAATAAACATCAAGTTGGTTTTTTACTGAAAGTTTATTTTTTTTCCCTCCACTAAATTGTATGTGCATCTTTGTGTGTGTGTGTGTGTGTGTGCATCTTTAAGCAGGGGATTACAAGGCTGCCAGAGTACCTACACTCTTTAATGCCAAGAAAGTGGAAGTGATGGCCAGATGGTAGAGATAGAACTCATTTAGCAAATAGCTATTGGATGTCTATTATAGACTAGAAGTGAGTCCACATGGAAGAATTAAATGACACGACTGGGGAGTAGTTATGATAGTTTTAGTTAGACTGGTCTAAGAAAATCTCCCTGAGACATGCCTTTTAAGGCAGAAATTTGAAGGATGAGGAGGGCCCAGAAAGATCTGAGGAAAGAGCATTTCTGTCTGAGGCCACGGCCCCTGGGAAGATGGGGGAGGCAGTGGCAGCGGAGTGGAAGCCAGGAGACCTTTTAGGGGCTGTTCTAACGTCCAAGCGAGAGATGATGGTGGCTTGGAATAGTGAGGGAGAGACGTGGATGAGTGCAGGATACATGGTGAATGTGCAGTGGTATTACCCCTGTACCAAAACGTGTCCAGTCTGGTTTTAGAAATGATTCATCATTAGCACTTTCCCATCTTATATTTGATTTTTTCTGTTCCTGCAAGGTAGCCAAATAAGTGTAAAGCACTTATCAAAGTATTGCAAATCTGTATTGCTTATGTTGGGGTTATGCAGTCTACCATTTGATGCTGAGTGGTCAATGCAAATAGTCTTTGTGGATTTCCTAGCTAAAGTAGGCACCAGTTTCATATTGTGTTGGACATGAACAAAATAGTAATTAAAAATGTTTACACTGTTGTTTGAAATATTGATTGTTGATTTTGAATCTGTCCTGTTCTGATTCAGCAATGTTTTGTCCATATGACCAAGTGAATGGACAGGAAACTCTAAAAGATCAAATAACTTTTCAGTGTTTGCTTGTGTACACCTTTAATTGTTGTTAAGTTATGTAACCCACTTTCATTTATTTCAGTAATTCAGCAAATTCTGCAGAGAGGGCTTCTCAGCTGCAGCACTTTAGGTAATTCTGTATTATGGGAGATTGTCCTGAATATTGTAGGATCTTTAATAGCACCCTGACCTCTACCCATTAGATGCCAATAGATTTCCTCTCATCATGACTACAGACAACTTCTCCGGACTTTGCTAAATGTTCCTGGGAAACAAAATTGTGTCTTGTAGAGAACCACTCTTTTAGAGCTTACTGTGCGCGAGCCTTGGGGGTAGGCATAGAAAGATTCAAGAAGTTCATAATACGGTGGAGGGGTAGAACAAGCACATAAACAAATAATTGCAAATCTGAAAGATAGTGTACTACTTGACACAGAAAATGGCACTCCAGAGTTTTTCAAGCTTAGGCTTGTGAATATCTTAGGCTCAGAATATCTCAGGAGCATTTAGTAGATAACTGCTCAGAACATAGAATTTTGGAATGCGTATTAGCAGGAAATGAAGGCAGAAAGGTAGGCTTTATTTTATATAGCAACTAATGATAAGCTAATTCTTGGAATTTATTTTACTACATAGTTGTATTTAAGTTTGACCATTTGTTTATAATTAAAAACAACAAAACTGCCATTTGTATATAATTAGAAGGCTCATATTTATATACTAGCAGCTCTTCCTTAACTTCTTGATGATGTAAAAGTCAGTTACTTTATCTGAGATGGAGTAATCTCATCTCTATAATTTGAGAAACAGTATCAGGACTTGTGAAATGTTCGATGGAATAAAATATATATATGAAGTGCTTTAAAACCATGAAATATTACTGAAAAGTTTGTTATTGGGATTGTTTTTTCTAATCATAATATAGCTCTTCTTTGTTTTATTTTTAGCAGTATGTTAAGGATATCTGTAAGAAAGGCCTTAGTAGGCCTTTCCAAGTCGTCTAAAGGATGTGGTGAGTATTTCTAAAATTGCATTTGTGGGCCCTAAACTGTCTATCTTTGTAAATTCATAGGTTTATGGAATGTTTCTTGAAAGACCCTAAATCCATAATAGATTTTAAATAAAAATAGAAACAATGTTGAGTCAGTGGTTTATTTTTATTATAATAGTTTTTATTAAAAATAGAATAGTTGAATAGAATAATAGAGCTTTAAACAGTTCATAGAAATGGAAAGTAGTAGGAATTGCCCATCAGTGCCAGAATGGAAAAAGCAGTTGTTCTGCTTTTGAGAAGTGATCTTCCCAGGAACATGTATTCAGTGGCATGAAAAGTTACAACTGGGACTTCCTGGCAGTCCCATGGTTACGACTCTGCACTAACAGTGGCAGGAGGCATGGTTCTGTCCCTGGTAGGGAGCTAAGATTGTGCACAGAGCAGGGCCAAAAAAGTTACAGCCTAAACTGCTGTTAAAAATAGACAACTCTATTCCATTTGGTATTAAGGATTGGAAGAGCTTTCCTCTAATTCAGTATTTTAAAAGTTTGCATCTAGAGAAATAGAAGGGAATAGGATAAAATGAGGAAAAAATCTAGACCTGTAGGTTAATTATTTAATCCATTACCCTCTGCTCTAATAACTTAAACTCTGCTAATTTCATCTTCACCTCAATTTTTTGGATGATCAGTTCGAACAACTGCCACAGGAGCAAGCAACTTGATTGAAGTATTTGTTGATGGTCAGTCTGTCATGGTGGAACCAGGAACTACCGTCCTTCAAGTAGGCATTAATTTTAATTCTTTATTTTTGTGCATAATCTGATATTTTTAAAAAAACATTTATTTCTTGATACTGTTTACTTCTAAAATTTTCAAGATTCCTTGACAAATGCTCATTAAAGTACTGTAGATAGTAAAATTATATGAAGATAACTTTGATTTGAAATCTTGGCATATCAGAATGAGCTTTTCTGTTTCTGACTTTATTAATGAACTTTGGCAGTTCTTTTGTTTCACTTCTGCCTTACAAATAAATTCCCATTTAGAAATTTTAAGTTATGTGAAATAAATTATCAGTTAATATGAGTAAGTTTGGGAGAAAGGTAATCTTTGTTGTGAGCCTGCTTGATGCACATTTACGTAACTTTCCTATTTTTAACAATATTTCTAGGAATGTGTCCCACAAAGCAGATAAATGGGGGGTAATAGGTTCTTGAATATATGCCCTAAACACTTAATTTCTCCAATTTCTTCCAGAACTAGCAAAATTGGTCATGGAGAAGTAGTGCTTTATTCCATTGTAAATTGTTGCAGAGCTAAATGCTCTTTATTCATTTTAGCAGTAACTTTTGCACTGTCAGGCATAGAAATATAAACAATAAATATATAACAAAAGTATGTTCAGCGTACAGTGGAGAGTATTTTGGCATGAATAGGAGGTGGTAGAAGAGATGTCAGAAATATCTCAGGTGATCCCTGAGAAGTTTTTAAAGGATGAATAGGTATTTATATGTGGACAAGGAAACTTCAGGTCATTTAGTACTGGTGAAACAAGGTATGTGTAGAAGAGGAGATAACAGGAAACTAGAACTGTGGTGTTGGAGAAGGTCTAGTCATTAAAGATAGTGAGTGCAATGTTAATGAGCTTGTAGTTTGGCCCATCAAGAGTTTTCATGGCTACTAAGCAGTATGACATTGACTGTAGAGAATGGTAGTTTGGAGATTAAGATTAGAATGAGACAAGGATAGAGTATATCTTGCATTAGTGGAGCAGAAAATAAGAAAGCCCAAAATAGTGGCAATGGAAATGGAAACAAAAGGGTATATTCATGAGAGAGTGAGATGTAGATAGACAGGCGTTTTGGAATGATGAAGAGCAGAGGAGTTTTTGTGATTTCTGGCTTTGTTATCTTATTTGGGGATATATAGGAGAGGACAGGGCTTGCCTGTGGCTCAGTTGGTAAAGAATCTGCCTGCAATGCAGGAAACCCAGGTACGGTCCCTGGGTGGGGAAGATCCTCTGGAGAAGTAGGAGACAGAAATAGATTGAATTTTAACTGTCTAAAGAACATTCACATGTAAATGCCTACCTGCATCAAAAGAAGTGGAGGACTGTCAGGATTGCAGATGAAGGTTCGAATGTAATCATTATGTAAAATGAGCTAGTGTGAAGGTGGGGACAGTTGACCTACTGCATCTAGCACACAGGAAGACATGGTGCATTTTTACCAAGTTGTTAAAAATATTAAAAATTGATGAGATTGCTTTAGAGTGAGGGCTAAGGATGGAATAACTAGCTCTCGAAATTTAAGTGCATTTATAGACTCAGAGAAGTAGCAGGGATAATTGACAGAGCTGAACTAATCCCCCTCACTAGGCAAATGGGAACTGAGAAGAGCCCTTAGCCAACAGTGGGGAGTCCTGGGCGGGATATGGGGCCAAAGATAGAACCAGATTATAGTCACCTAGACGGTGTGAAATGAAGTCTAATCTAAAGGAGGAGAGCTCGTCAATGAGGAAATCCAGGGACATGAAACCACTGGGACAGAGTTTGAAGGAGGAATCTTCGTAGAGAATGGTTCAGAGGAGAAGTGAGTAGTCAAGCACAGTCTGAGGACGCTTTATCCAGTTTTTAGGCTTGGTGAGGATCTTTAAAGAGGTATCTTCAGAGCAGACAGAGGTTGGAGTCAAGAACAAAGAAAAGGAGGGAAATCTCTTTGAGGATGAAGGTAGGATGAAGATGCAGATGTTTGGAGGCAGGAGTAATTAGATAAGTAGTGGAGGACCTCAGTTTTTTGTTGTTTGATTTTTGTTTTTCTTTTTCCTGTGTTTCAGACAAGGCACGGATGAGGTCAGGTTATTCTAGTACAAATATTTTTTACTTTCTCTTCTAGGCTTGTGAGAAGGTTGGCATGCAGATTCCTCGATTCTGTTATCATGAAAGGTTGTCTGTTGCTGGAAACTGCAGGATGTGCCTTGTTGAAATTGAGAAAGCTCCTAAGGTACTTAATACCTAAAATAACACACCATGCTGTAGAAGGTAGAAAACTTTAAATTATGCAGCAAGCTTTATTTAGAGTCAGTATTGTGGTAACCAAGAGTCTGGTCCTGTTTACTTCTATCTGTAAATTTTTCTGTGTGACTGATTCTCTTCATTCCACAACTGGAAACACATTGAAGAAAGTACTTTATAAGTGCAAGTCCTATATAATTGTAATGTTTAGAAATTAAAGGGACCTTCTTAGAGCAGTCAGTATTTCCAAATGACTATATGACACACAACATTGGAAGTGCTTATGCTGTGCCATTTTTCACTAGAGAAAAGGGTTGAAGTGAAAAGGTTCACTTTCAATTTAACTGTTTTGGCTTATGCAATTTTAGTTCAGTAGTGCCTGCTCATCAAAATAGTTATTTGATGTTCTGTTTCAGAGCCTCTTATTAAAAAATCATATTATTATAATAAAATTAAGATGATGTCTTATTTTTAAGAGAAATGTAAAGTGCCCGACTATCATATAAATATGAAAACTAAAAAACTCAGTCTTCAAAAATACTTTGTTCTTTGCTTGTTTTCAAATATCTGATTTAATGTTTTTATATATTGGGTTACTTATAATTACAAATAAAATTTGTATAATTACAAATACTTAGAGATTTCTTCATTGAAATTCCAGGTTGTAGCTGCTTGTGCCATGCCAGTAATGAAAGGTTGGAATATCCTGACAAACTCTGAGAAAACTAAGAAAGCCAGGTACTTTACTGTTGACTCAGCATAGTGACTCTTCTTGGCAGAAGATTGCACATTTCAATATGTAGACCTTCCCCTAGATGAGAAATTCAGTATCAGACTCTGAAGAAGTTGTGCTAGGCTTTTAGCAGCAGATGGAAGTAAGTACACATAGAGGAGGTGAAGTCAGGTGTTTTATGTTTTTGAGTCTGTAGTGGAATCGGCATTAAAAACCCTTGTTTAGAACCTTGGTCAGCTTGTGATGGCCGTGAGTCTGGGGCTTATTGAGCTGAGATTATGGCAGTGATACTGTACTGTACTGGCACTGATTATGTTTGTTTTTGCTTTGCGTTCATGTTTTTCTGAATTATTGCCTGAGTTTTCTGAGGCCCATTCAGCAGCTTCTGATAATTCTGTGTTAAAACTCATAATTTTCTAGGTTCTCTAATGATATTTTAATCCAGATTCATAAACATTTTTTAAATTACATATTTAATATTACTTTAATGATAGTTAACATTAGTATTTATGATAGTAAATATAAAATCCATACTAACTATATGAGAACATACATCTGTCAAGGTTATTTAAATAGCCTATGTGTAAACCATTTTGAATGTCAGCAATTTACTTAAGTTTGTATATTACAATCTTCTGTACAGAGAAGGTGTGATGGAGTTCTTATTAGCAAATCACCCACTGGACTGTCCTATTTGTGACCAGGGAGGTGAATGTGATCTGCAGGTGTGTAGTCTTAATTTCTTAATTCTTTTGGTTGTCTCAGGTTTTGATTTTGTTAGCAAAATTAGGTTAACTCTTTTGCAATCTACTTAAGGACCAGTCCATGATGTTTGGAAGCGATAGGAGCCGGTTTTTAGAGGGGAAGCGTGCTGTGGAGGACAAGAACATTGGGCCGCTGGTGAAAACCATCATGACTAGATGTATACAGTGTACTCGCTGCATCAGGTGATTATTTTTCTCTCTCCTGGAACAGCATTTGTATGCTTAGCTCTAGTATTCACAAAACGTGGTGGAATAATAACACTGGAAAGGATGGCAGTTTTTATTTGGTGGAAAAGAGGGGTGCTGTATTCGTTGTTTTTTACATAAGCCAGTAGAGTGAATACGTTTTCAGTTTTAGTTGATAGCAACTTCAGTTGGATTGAAAGATCAGAATCTGCAAGCATTAACTTTGTGATAACTTGAGCCGCACACATGATTTGTACAGTTTCCTGTATGAGAGTTACACCTCAAACGCCAGCATTTATATTAATTTTTATTTAGGGACGGCACTTACCATTGAAAACAAACCTTCTTGATGTTTTGAAAATCATTATCTTTGCGATAAGAAAGGAGATAATTTTGCGGGTTTGACCAGTTGTTTGGTGCATTTTTATCCTGTAGGTTTGCAAGTGAGATTGCAGGAGTCGATGATTTGGGAACTACAGGCAGAGGAAACGATATGCAAGTTGGCACATACATTGAAAAGATGTTCATGTCTGAACTTTCTGGCAATATCATTGATATCTGCCCTGTAGGTGCCCTGACCTCTAAGCCCTATGCCTTTACTGCCCGGCCTTGGGAAACAAGGTATTTATCATTGTATTTTCTGTCCTTTACTTCAGTACTGTTAAAAAAACATTTAAGATTCATTTTCTTCCTGAGTTCTAATTCTTTTGGTGTGCTAATTTTTGTTTGCTTAAAGTAAAACCCTTTTACTGGAGTGTAAGTAAAGTTCATACCTTTTACTGGATGAACCTATGCAAGTCAATTGTTTCTTTGGAAATGAATTCCAGAGTACTTAATCACAAAATTATTTACTTCTTCCAAAGAGTAAGATTGTGTTGATTTTGAAGAATTTATAGTTTCCTCTCATTGTATATTAAATTTTCAACCATATATACATATCATACTTTATTTAATCAATTCTTATTAGACCTTTAGTTTATTTCTATTTCTGTAAAATTACAAATTTATGATAAATATATTTATATTTTCTCTGATTCTATCTCTGATTCTTCTGATTAAACTAAGAAATTAAATAGATCATTGAAATAAATTTAAATACTTTTCAGGTTCTAGAAACATTAAATTGCCCTCTAATTTTAAACTCCTACCATAGTATATAGGAGCATCTTAAAATTCCAGGCTTTGAACTGTGTGTTTATGTATAAAAAAAGCTTTAGGGGGTTTGGGCAGGGAGGAGACAGTACATAACTGAAAAGTTTAAATAGAAAATTTTTTCTCCTCTCCATGATACATATGATGGTACACTTAATGTGCTACAGGTCTCTGAGACACTATTCATTTTTCTTAAATCTTTTTTTCTCTCTGTTCTTCAGATTGGATGGATTCTGTTGATATATCGTATCAAATTCATTCTTTTGCCATCCCAAATCTTCTATTCAACCACTGTAGTCAGCTTTTTATTACAGTTACACTTTCCAACTCCAGAATTTCTGGGGTTTTTTGTTGTTTTTTTTTAATTTGTGTATCCTCACTGGGACTCTTCACTTATTGATTCATGGTTTCATATTTCCCTTTAATCTTATTTTTTAATAGTTATTTTTATTTATTTATTTGGCTGTGCCAGGTCTCAGTTGTGGCATCCAGGATCTTTAGTTGCGGCATGTGACATTTAGTTCCCTGACCAGTGATTGAACCCAGGTCCCCTGCATTGGGAGCTCAGAGTCTTAACCCACTGCACCACCAGGGAAGTTCTTCCCTTTCATCTTTAAACATAATTTTCCTTCTTTTATTGAACATTTTAATATTCTTGTTTTTATTTTTAAGCAGGGCTTCTTAGGAGTTGCTTCTCTGTCTGTATAGCTTAGTAGTCAGATAATGATCATGCTCAAATTCTTTGAGCCAGTAAAGCTTCCATCCTCTGCCAGTGGATCTGTGTGTGGATTGTTGTTCTTGTTTAGTTGCTAAGTTGTGTCTGACTCTTTAGAGACCCCATAGACTGTAGCCTGCCGGGCTCCTCTGTCCATGGAATCTCCTAGGCAAGAATATGGGCAAGAGTGGTTTGCCGTTTCCTTCTCCATGGGAGTTCTCTGACCCAGGAATTGACCCTGCATCTCCTGCACTGCAGGCAGATTCTTTTACCACTGAGCTGCGTGGATTGCCCTTGTGTGTGGATAGAGAAGCATATTCAGAGTTCTGGCTGTTTTCAGGTCTGCCCAGCTTGTGGTTCACACTAGGTCTTTTGGGCCTCTGCGTTGTCCAGCAGAGTGCGAATAGCCTGCGCTGTCTCTGGTCTCAGCTGCACATTTGTGCAGCCTTCGCTGGGAATGCTTACCCTGACTGTGACTGCAGCCTCATGCTCGTAGGTCCTTGACTTTCCTCAGCTCAGTGACCTCTAAGATATCACTTCTACAGACAACTTTTCCCATTTCTCCCAATCAAGTGAGTCTTTGTCTGCAAGAAAAAATCCCCAGTCTTCATAGCGTGCCCCATCCTACCAGAACTTCCAGTTCAAGGTGGTGAGAAGGGCAATAAGAATAGTTCCAAGCCAGAACACCACTGGTTTCCACCATTCTTTCTGGAAGTTCAGCAGTTTCTCTAAACATAAAACCTTCACATGATGTTTTATGCTTTTGTTAGCTCTCCAGAGAGTTGAGTTGGTTACTTTTGTCAGTTTTGTCTAGCTTTATTTTTGTTATTTGGAGGAAGGATTTGTCAAGCTCCTTAATCAGTCATACCCAAAACTTTATTTATTTTGATAGTCAGGTTTTCACAGTTTGGCTTTTACAGCCTTTCCAACTGGATTCTGTTTTAGATAACAGTTCTAAAGCTTCGTTTTTGTGTTATGGTCTGCTCAAATATGACTGTGTGTGTATGTGTAAGGAAAGGAAAGTATATGTAAGTTTTTTGATTTTGGTAAACCAGGTAACAGAAACCTTGTCCATTTATTCTCAAAATCAACTAGTAAATATATGTGTTTGTTTTCTTAGAAAGACAGAGTCCATTGATGTAATGGATGCAGTTGGAAGTAATATTGTGGTCAGCACAAGAACTGGAGAGGTAATGAGGATTTTGCCACGGATGCATGAGGACATCAATGAAGAATGGATCTCTGATAAAACCAGGTATGTGCTATGTTTTTTCCTTTAACTTTTGCAGTTGATTTAAAGGAAATTTTATAATTTTCATTTTAAGGAATGGTCTTTTATATTTGCAAATTACTGTTTATAGACTATTGAAATCTAGATTGTTAGGCTATATAGCTAATTGGACAAAACTGACATTAATAATAATCCTAGGCTTCCATACTTACTGGTTTTCATATAGAGAAATATCTTTTTTCTCCAAGACAGAGAAATTGAAGTAAATTAAGATACTTAATCTATTGTCTCTTTTTCATTGTAGAATAGAAGCTAAATAAAAGTTTGAGTTTGCATAACAAAATCTTGATGAAATGTCTAGAGATACTCAGGTTTTATAAATGATTTGGCTTTCTCAGCTACCAAACTTATTGTAATTTTAAGTTTCTTTGGGTAGTTGAAAATAAATGATAAGGACTCAAACATTTTAGGTGGCATTTTAGTTTCAGATAATGTTTGTAATATATTAATTCATCTCCAAAGAAATCTGGAATTACTATTTGTATCCATGTATTTATTGTTCTAGTTGACCTTTAACCAACACTGTATTTAAATAACATTTCTTTTAGATTTAAAATTATAAAATTATAGTTGTCATTTTAGAACGATTTCACAAATGGTGTAATTTCTGTTATCTAGATTTGCCTATGATGGGCTAAAACGTCAAAGACTTACTGAACCGATGGTCAGAAATGAAAAGGGACTTTTAACACATACCACCTGGGAGGATGCACTCTCTCGTGTAGCTGGAATGGTAAAAAATTGAAATATAGAATAACTGTATTTGTGGTTTCCAAGACACATCTTTTTTTTTGGTTGTACCAGGTCTTAGTTCTGGCAACAGGATCTTCTGTCTTCGTTGCAGCATGTGGGCTCTTTAGTTGTGGCGTGTGGGATCTAGTTCCCTGACCAGGAATTGAACCCAGGCCCCCTGCATTGGGAGCACAGAGTCTTAGCCACTGGACCACCAGGGAAGTCCCACGGGGAACATCTTTCTAATGAAGAGGGGTTATGTTTCTCTTCACTTCTTTCCTCTTACCAGAATTACCTTCCATTTAACAAGCATTTATTGAGAGCCATCTGATGTCATGCTAGATGTAGGGATATAAAGATCATTAGCACATGGTTCCTACTTCCACAATCATTTAGTAGGAAAAGATGCATAATCAGGCAATTATTGTGTGCTGCTTTGGGTAATCATGCAGAAGATGATATATGAGAGCGCGCATTGGAGGGACGCCTACATATTACCTAGGTAAGATGACAGATGACTTTTTTGTTTAGTTGCTAAGTCATATCTGACTCTTTGCAACCCCATGGACTCTAGACCACGACCCCCCCCAGCCCCACCCAGGCTCCTCTGTCTGCAGGATTTTCCAGGCAGTAATGCTGGAGTGGGTTGCTGTTTCCTTCTCCAGAGGGTCTTCCTGACCCAGGGTCATAACCTGAGTCTCCCTCATTGGCAGGCAGACTCTTTACCACTGAACCACCTAGGAAGCTGCTACTGCTGCCTACCTGAGAGAAGTGAAGTACCTAACCTCAGCCACCTCTTGGAAACCTGTACCATGTGGGGGAGGGTGTGAGAGAAACTGAAAGTTCATTTTCCCCGGCACAGGCTCACTAATCACAGGACTGGAAAATACTTCCCCTGCCCACTCAACCTCACCACCACGCTCACTAACCAACCACCTGTTACCTCCGTTCCTTTCACCCAGTACATCACATCCATCTTTCAGCAATGACTTTCAAGGCATGCTAACAGGTAAAAGCACAGCTTGCAGAGGCTGAACAAGCATTAGACCCAGAGTCATCTGTGACAAGAATATTGGATGTATCAGACCAGGTATTTTTTAAACTATGACTAAAATGTTAAAGACCGTATTGGAAAGAGAAGACCACATACGAAAATAGATGAACAATGTTAGCAGAGAGATGAAAATTCTAAGAAAAAAACAAAAGAAAAATGCTAGGGATCGAAAACACTACCAGAAATGAAGAATGCTTTTGATGGTCTCTTTAGTAGATGAGCCATGAACAAGCTTGCCAGAGCAAGATGCACAAAGGGCTTGAAGGAACGACAGATGCTTCAGAAGATTGTATTTATATAACTCCGAAGTCTCCCATCTTCCTGACCTCATTTCGAGGCCTTTCGATCCTAATTTAAATCAAACAACTTTATAACAAGCCAGTGTTGTTAACCTTGACCCCACATACACTTTCTGCTTCTCACTTTCGGACTAATAATTGGTGTAAAAGCTTTTTTGTCAGAAGTTTGTTGCTTTTATTTTACTTGAAAATGACGTTTTTGTTTTGTTTTCTGAATGAGTCATTGTGGTCTTTTTCTGAATGAAGGTTTCTTGGTGATAGCCTTTTCATCCATTTCTAGTTGCAGAGTTTTCAAGGCAACGATGTGGCAGCGATTGCAGGTGGCTTGGTGGACGCTGAAGCCCTCATAGCTCTCAAAGATTTACTTAACAGAGTGGATTCTGACACCCTGTGCACTGAAGAGGTCTTCCCCACCATAGGAGCTGGGTGAGAAATTTGAGGCTAGGATCTAGGTGTTTTGTTTTCTTTCTTTCTTTTTTTCCTTCTGTTTATAGGTTGTGTTTAAACCAACACATCTGTGGCATCAGTGACTTTTAAGTGACAACTTGGATACTCCAACATACCTACTGGTTTATTTTCACATATAGACCAAAGTCGAACCAGGAGCTATTAGAAAATCTAATTATTAATAAAGTATTTGAACCTTTGATGCAGTTTAAGAATACTTCAAAAAAATTTTTGTCAGGCAGTGAGCCATGTATTTAATGATAGAGTATTTCATGGATTGTCAGTGTTTATTAATTTTAAAGTAAACTTGGATTTTATATTTTATGTTTCTAGCACAGATCTACGTTCCAATTATCTTCTTAATACTACAATCGCTGGTGTGGAGGAGGCAGATGTTGTCCTTCTAGTTGGTACAAATCCACGTTTTGAGGCACCGCTATTTAATGCTAGAATTCGAAAGAGGTTAGTAATAATATTCTGGGTTTTGAAAACATTTACATGATAATTTATGTATGAAAAATGACTGTCTTAGCTGATTCCTAATATTCGGAGTGAGATTCCAAAAGATAATTGAAGGGCAGCTTCTAACAGCTCCATTCCCCACTTCCCTGCTGATCATTTTTTTATCTTTTTAGTTTGAAATAAGGAACTTGAAAAGTTTTTTGTATACCTATGTTTGTGTAGTGTTCACCCAGATTAATCAATGCTAATGTTTATATTTTTTTCTTTTCTCTCCATCTATATATTTGTGTGAACATAATCATTTGAAAGTAGGTTGTATACATGATCCCCTTTTAATCCCAAACTAAACACGTCTGTGTGTGTTTCCTAAGACAAGGATATTCTCCATTTAAGAATTTGATTCTTTATTTAATCAAGAATTTAGTATTGATACAGTATTATTATTTTTTGCGCTCAAATTTCTCTGAATTGTTTCCATAGTTTCTTTTATAATAACTTTTTTCTGCCTAGGATCCAGTCTGGAGTTACACATTGCAGTTAGTATCATGACTCTTCAGTCTCCTTTTTTGACTTTTTTTTTTTTTTAAGACTACAGGCTATTTTGTAGAATGCCTCTCTTTTTATATCTTAGAGACTTGTAATAGCTCAGCCATATAGTTGATTGTCTAAACTGGGACAATGTTGAGAGTAGAAAGGGGAGTTATTATTCCAGGGTGACAGGTAAAAACCCCTACTGTCTCTGACAAACCAGAATATATGGTCACCACATTTATTACTATTTTTGGAGGAGCTGGATCCATACTTCCTTATCAGTAGACAATAAATATGAATGATGTAGATTGTTTTTTATGAAATTTTATTTAAATGATTTTAACAGATAATTAGGACTCTGCTGTGTAGATATGACAAAATAAAAATATCACTTATTCTCAAATTAAAGTCTTTGTTTATAGCTAGCTTAGAGTTAGCATTCTAACACGCAAGTTAATTCATTGACTTTCCTTGATGTGTGCAGACTTAGCTTATTTTGTTATACTTTGCTTTATTGTACTTTGCAGATATAGTCTGGTTTTTTTGCAAATTTAAAGTTTATGGTAGCTGTTGGTCGAGTAAGTCTTTCAGTGCTATTTTCCAACAGCATTTTCTCTCTTTGTGTCTCTGTGTCATATTTTGATAACTCTCACAATATTTCAAACTTTTTTATTTTTACTACATTTTATTATGGTGATCTTTGATCAGTGATCTTTGCTGTTACTCTTTGTTTTGGGGCACCATATACCATATCCATATAATATGTTGAACTTAATCAGTAGATGTTGGTGTGTTTTGATCACTCTGCCAACTGGCCAGTCTTCCATGTCTCTCCCTCCCCTTGGGTCTTCTTATTCCCTGAGACACAACAGTGTGGAAAGTAGGTCAATTAATAACCTACAGTGGCTTGTAAGTGTTCAAGTGAAAGGAAGTCACTTTAACTCAAAAGCTAGAAATGATTAAACTTATTGAAGGAGGTATACTGAAAGCAGAGATAGGTCAAAAAACAGACCTCTTGTGCCAAACAGTCCTGTCGTGATTGCAGAGGAAATGTATTAAAGTGCTACTCCGAAGTGCGCAGTGAATGATAAGAAAGCAAAACAACCTTATTGCTAATGTGGATAAAGTTTGAGTGGTCTGGATTGACGATCAGACCAGCCATGACATTCCCTCAAAGCCTAATCCAGAGCAAGGCCCTAACTCTCTTTGTTTGTAAAGGTGACGAAGCTACAGAAGTTAAAACTAGTAGAGTTTGGTTCATGAGATTTAGGGCAGGAAGCTGTCTCCATAACATAAAGATACAAGGTGAAGCAGCAAGTGCTAATGTAGAAACTGCAGTGAGTTACCCAGAGGTCTAGCTAAGATAATGAAGGTGGCTGCACTGAACAAGATTTTCAGTGTAGACGAAACAGCCTTTTATTGGAAAAATGTGCCACCCAGAAGTTTTATAGCTAGAGAGGACAAATCAGTGCCTGGCTTCAGAGCTTCAAAGGATAGGCTATGTTAGGGGTTAATGCTCCTGGTTACTTTAAGTTGAAGCCAGTGCTCAACTTACCATTCTGAAAATCCAAGGGCTCTTGAGAATTTTGCTAAACCTGTTTTGCTTGTGCTTGATAAATGGAACAACAAAGCCTCGTTGACAGCGCATCTGTTTGCATCATGATTTANTTTTTTTTTTTTTTAACCAGAGTTTAATTTTACTTGAAGTTATTGGAAAAGAAAATGATGTGAAACTGAAAGAATTCAATTTTAAACTTCAGTGAAGTCTTTCTTTACAGCAAGAATTATTATTCCTTAAAGAAATTTCACTGGTCTTTTTACATGACCTTTTTCATTACTAAATTCCTTATTTAATTTTTTTTATTTGCCACCTGAAGTATAGAGCTTTTAAGCTTCTTCTTTCTTTTTTTTTTTTCAAGAGATGTACGTGCACCATTTTTTGAGTTCTTTCTTGCTTGAAAATGTTTATTTTATTCCTGACGAGAGCCTTGGCAGAATGTAAAGATCTTGGGCTATATTTCTGTTTTTCCCTCTGAACTTTATAGATATGCGCCCCCCCCCCCCCTTAAATTAGTGTATTTATTTGGCTGTGCTGGGTCTTAGTTGCAGCATGCATGATCTTTTAGTGTGGCATTCGAACTCTTATTAGTTGTGGCATGTGGGATCTAGTTCCCCAACCAGGAATTGAGCCCTGGCCCCCTGCATTGGAGCGAGAGTCTTAGCCCCTGGACCCCCAGGGAAGTCTAGACACTGCCTTTTATTATTGTGGAGAAGCCTGATTTGAGGTATTATTCTTTATCAACACTGTCCTATTGTTGTTGTCTAGATACATTTTTGTTGATATTTCATACTTGCTTTTTTATCTTTGAAATTTAGTGACTTCACTAGAATATATCTTAATGATGGTGCTTCCCTACCCTTTTTTTTTTAATGGGATATGCTGCCTCCTTCAGTTTGAATATTCAAGATTCTCTCTATTTTAGGAGTTGTATGTGTGCTTGTGTGTGGTCCTGTTTCTCACATAGCAGCGATTCTGAAGGTAGGCAGTTTGCCGTCTTGTGCCGCTGTCCGGGGATCTCAGCAGGGCAGGAGCCGGCCTTCCTGCGTTGCTGTCCTCAGTGTACAGGTTCACTCACATGTGTTTGCGTGTGAGCCTCTCCTTGTGATTTCAGGATGGTTGCTTCACTTACACCTCCAAGTGTCGGCAAGAAGAAAGTCCAGTGTGAGAAGACCAAGCAGCCAAACCCAGCTCCTTTGTTGTCGGTTTTGAATAATATCTTTATTATTACTATCATCAAAAATATTTTTTTAAAAATTTTATTGAGAAGAAGCTCTCTCTTCTCTATAGTTTCCTTCCCCATTCCCGAGAAGGTGATGAGTGTTCTTCAGGAAAATTTCCTTTTATAATAGATTTAGATGTATTTTCCAGTAATTACTTCTGTTCTGTTTGTTAAGAGCTCTTACAGATACTGAATCCCTTTTTCTATCTTTTCTGTCACTTTTTTCTTTATTCCTCTGTTCTTTTCAGTTTGTTTTATATAATTTCCTATATACTTCTTGCTCCTGTATTTACAGTCATGTTTAATTTTGTTTTTTGTTGTTTCTGGAATGATGTTCATCTCTGCTTTGTTTCTCTTTTAGTTCTTGAATTTTCTGATGAAAATCCTCTATGATATTGTCTACTATGTAACTTCTCTGAGCTCTTTTTTAAAATATTTCATTTTCTTTGAGGCTGTTGAAAACTGTTTCTCATTTATTTATTTATTTATTTATTTATTTATTTTTCCCATTTATTTTTATTAGTTGGAGGCTAATTACTTTACATCATTTTTTAAGGCTATTGAAAACTCTTCACATTTCCTTGGGAAAGTCCTCTTAAGATGAATATCTTCTTTGTAGTGTCTAGAAGTGATTTTCATGCTGATTCATTAATTGGGACCAGCTGTTTATCAAAGAATGGATGGGCAGGAGAGTGAACTGTAATAGTCTACAGCTTTACTTTTAATTTTTCTGTCCTCCACCGTATCTATAGTTTCTTTTGCACTTGGGATGCATTCCTTCTCAGTTTCTGATATTCAGGTAGTTACTGTGGTTTAAAGCAAAGCCCTTAAAGTATTCTGCATTGTGATCTGTGTCTGTTGCTTTCCCTACCTTTTCCTCCCTGTCTGGAACATAGCAATTAGATGGAAGAAGGTAGACATGGTACTTCAGCTTGATTTCTCATGTTAAACATTGTATCATCTCAACCTCTGTGCACATTTTCTCCAGTTTTTTCTGGGACCTATCCATAGTCATTCTGCTAAAGGATGTTTGGCTCAGGCTTTTGTTCTCAGTGCTTCCTTATTGAAACTGCTTTATCTAATATTCATTTAGCTTTTTCACACTAGCATTGGCAAGAGGTTTTTGAGTAAATCCGGTTTGTATGTATATCCATATGTTGACTAGCAAATCAGGATGTTCATCTTAGAACTAAAGCTTGGGACAGCATATTGTAGATACAAATTTGGTTAGATTTAGTTACTTCTAATTTTTTTTTTTAATTCAAAGTTCTTTTTAAAAATAGGTCCTACAGGAAGCTAAAAAACCAATGGTGGTTTTAGGCAGTTCTGCACTCCAGAGAAATGATGGCGCAGCAATTCTTGCAGCTGTTTCCAACATTGCTCAAAAGGTTCGGACAAGTAGTGGTGTTGCTGGGGATTGGAAAGTTATGAATATCCTTCATAGGTAAGTTGGATAGTTGTTTTGTGACCTGTAATTGTGTGTATATGTGTTCCTGTACACTGTCACATTTATTTTTAAAACAAGTTGATATTTAGTGACATTATCTCAGTAGCAGATGTGAAATAGCAACTTTTATTTTGTGTGAGAAGAACCCAAGATAATAAATAATATTTAAAATATCTAAATTGTAGTGAGTGCTAGAAAAAATCTTGAAAATTTATATCATATTAATATACTGTGGTTCAAAAATAAGAATTTCCTCCTGTGATTATAAATTCTTTATAAATAAAATAGAATTGTTCTGAAAGTAGAACTACTGCAGTGAATAGGATAAACATTTTTGAGGCTTTTAATGCATATTGCCAACTTATTTTAGAAAGATTTACCAATTTTGCCATTAGTGAATGAATTTCTCATTTCACACAGTTCTTTCTACCTCAAGTGTTACTTTTCAAATCTTCAAATTTGTTTAAAGATTGAGGGTAGACACTCAGTGGGCTTCCCCAGTTGCTCAGTGGTAAAAAAATCCGCCTGCAATGCAGGAGACTCAAACAGGAGGTTCAGGTTTGATCCCTGGGTTGGGAAGACCCCCGCCAGAAAAAGCAAATGACAATCCACTACAGTATTCTTGCCTGGAGAATCTATGGGGTCACAAAGAGTTGCACATGAGTGGGCAACTAAACAACAATAAAATAAACACTCCATGATAAGCAAATTTTTTTATTTTAAAAATGTTCAAATGCATTCTTAAACATTCATTTCAGTGCATCGTAGCTCATCATGTAAACATTTTTTTAAAACTTGGTATTTTTTAAATAGTTTATTTGCATTGATCAACTCGGAACCTTTCTAGTGACAATTTTTAGAATAGAAAAGAGATGAGTTATTTTCTTATTTTTAATTCACTTTTGAACATATGTCTTTATTAATATTTTTTGTTTTTGTCCAAAAAACAATATCATAATAACTTTTTAAGAAAAATTTCTGCGTGTCTAACAATGTCTTTATGGTTCCTTTTCACTGAGGACCACTTGGCTAAATATATAAATCACAGATTTTTTTTTTCCTTTAATACTCAATATTTTTTTCACCCTTCCTTTAACATTTTAGAGAGGATCTCATCTAATCTGTTTTTTTTGTGTGATTTTTTGCCTCTGATAACCTGATTTTGTGTATGTATGTGTTCTTGTCTGCCTGCCCACCCTTTGGATTCCTAGAGGGACTTCCCTGGCAGTCCAGTGGTCAAGACTCCTTGCTTCTAGTGTAGGGGACACAGGTTCAATCCTTTGTCAGGAAACTAAGATCCCATATGCTCTGTAGTACAGCCTGGCCAGAAAAAAAAAAATTTATACTGGGATATAACTAAGTGACATTTGTTTGACATCTCCTTTGCCTGGGAATATCATAGAATTTTCCATTTTCAAATTGAAAATTTTTGTTTTTTCATGTAAGTTCAGAAAAAGTCACTTTGTCTACTTTTACATTGTTGTTTGCTCTCATGCTAAGCTAAGTCGCTTCAGTCGTGTCCGACTCTGTGATACCCCATGGACAGAAGCCCACCAGGCTCCCCCGTCCCTGGGATTCTCCAGGCAAGAACACTGGAGTGGGTTGCCATTTCCTTCTCCAATGCATGAAAATGAAAAGTGAAAGTGAAGTCGCTCAGTCGTGTCCGACTCTTTGCAATCCCATAGACTGCAGCCTACCAGGCTCCTCCGTCCATGAGATTTTCCAGGCAAGAGTACTGGAGTGGGGTGCCATTGCCTTCTCCGGCTCTCATGCAGAAGCTTCTATTTATTATGCACTGGTTGGCCCTTCAGACTTTTGTCTCTTCTTTCTCATAGTTTCCCTCACTTTTTTCCTGTGTCTAGGGAGAATTTCTTATTTATCTTCTGTCATTTGTGAACTTTGATTATGGAAAGCACTAATGCCATTGTAATTTTTAATTGATTAGACTTGTTTTTTTAATTTCATTTCATTCTTATGTAAGATTTCATTTTCATAAGAACAGCTTGTTTCAATGCAGTTTATTAAGACATACCTTCTAATTCTTGTTGAGAACATGAAGAATATTTATAAACCTTTTTAAAATTTCTTACAGTAAGTTTATTTCATAGTAAAGCATATTTTCTTATTCTTGAAGAATCTTTTAATCAGCCTGTAGTTTATCATTCTTAGAGGCAAACTTATGTTACCCACTTTGTTTTCCAAGATGAGGTAGGCTCTGTCATGAGTTAGACTGTGCTCAGATCTTTTTGAGACATCAAGGCTTAGAATGAGAGATGTTAAAAAAAAAATACTGTGTAGGTGGAGAGGCAGCAGGAGCTAAGTTTTGAAATTGGATTTAGGCAGTCTGAGTTTTCTGACTTTGTTCATTTTTAAGATAGACTTTGTTTTTCAGGGTCCTTTGCATTCCATGTGACTTTTAGGATCAGCTTGTCAGTTTCTGTAGCTGTGAGTTTTGATAGGGATTGCATTAAATCTATAGATCAGTTTGGGTAGTAAAGCCATCCTCACAACATTAAGTCTTCCAATCCATGAACATAGGATGTCTTTCCATTTGTTACGGTCTTTAATTTCCTTTGGAGTTGTTTTGTAATTTTCGTCATACAGATCTTACACTTCTTTTGTTAAATATTCTCAGAGTACTTGTATTCTTTTGATGTCCTATTAGAGAGTTTTACAGAGCAAGCAGCATCTAGTGGGAGTTTGTTTGATCTGCCCTCCCCCCTTAACAAATAGGTGAAGATCAGCTAGCTTTATTCATAGTAGGTTCTCAGAATGGCTACTATTTCTGTAAAGAAAATTGATAATACCTAACTAGAACAAAAACTCCCAAATGTTCGAAATATAGTTACTTGAAACTTCTTTAAAAGATTTTTATCTGCTTGTGTAACAATAATATATATTCATTGAAAAAATTCTCTAAGGACATACACCAGTGTACTAATTATAGTTTTCTCTGAATTACAGTTTTATGAGTGGTATTTAAATTTTTCCTTTTAGGTTTTCAAAGTCTTCTAATTTTTCTCTAATAACTGTCTTTGACTCATCAAGTCTTACTGTATTGAATAAAAATCAACTTAAGACAATTGCGGTTGGCATAGTTTCCCAAATTACTCCATTAAGTATCACGTCATGAAGAAACAGTGTCCTCAGCATGTTATTTCTTTGTTTGGCATTCTTAAAACAGTAAAAGACTGCTTTTTCTGATTTTGACATTTATTTCACATGGGTCAAAAAGATGAGGGAAGATCTTTGACAGCATCGAACAGAAAAAAGAGACTTGGTATTATTCAAGAATCACATTTAATTTTTTATAATGAAAACAGCAAGTATGCTAAAATCCCATAATTGTTTTATAGGATTGCAAGCCAAGTAGCTGCTTTGGACCTTGGCTATAAGCCTGGGGTGGAAGCAATTCGGAAGAATCCTCCCAAAATGCTGTTTCTCCTGGGAGCAGATGGAGGTTGTGTCACTCGACAGGATTTGCCAAAGGATTGTTTCATTGTTTATCAAGGTTAGTAGCATCTGTGACATTAGAAACAGAAGAGAATGGTACATTTTGTATATTAGAAACTGCATGGCAGTATGTTTAGTGTAATGAGTATTTTCCATTTGAGAATTTCCCTATACGCTCACCAGTTTCAAAACAGTATGTATTTTTATAGATTTTATGTTTTTTAAAATAGGCTTTATTAGTTACATAGTTTCTATTGCTATTAAGAATTATCCCCTTACATTATTTAATAACAAAGAATTGGAAGAAACCTAATGCCCCCAGTAACAGTAATTTAAATTATGAAATATTATATAGCATTAAATTCATTTTAAAAAGAATATTTAGTGTGATTACATATTCAATAAAGAGTGTAAAAATTAAAAAGTCATGAGTCCTTTGTTACATTTTTGCACTTCGTGCATGCGTGCTCGGTCGTGTCTGACTCTCTTGCAACTCCATGGACTGTATGCAGCCCTCCAGGCTCCTCTGTCCATGGGGATTCTCCAGACAGTACTGTAGTGGGCTGTCATGCCCTCCTCCAGGGGATCTTCCCAACCCAGGGATAGAACCCAGGTCTCCTGCATTGCAGGAGGATTCTTTACTGCCTAAACCACCAAAGAAGCCCAAGAATACTGGAGTGGGTAGTCTGTCCCTTCTGCGGGGGATCTTTCCGACCCAGGAAGCAAACTGGGGTGTCCTGCATTGCAGGTGGATTCTTTACCAGCTGAGCTACCAGGGAAACCTTGCTTTATACAGAAACAACATTAATTTATAATAGGCTTTTTATTGCCATGCCGCATAAAAAGCATTATGTAACTTTTTTTGGATAAATTAAACCAAAATGCATAAACTAAAATCCTCTCCTAGTTCTATCCAGGGATAATCATTGATGATGTTTTAGATATGCATGCTTCATACATATTTCTATACATACACAGAAGTACATAAATGAGATCAAAGTTTATGTATTGTTCTATAGCTTTCTTTCACTTAACCAAAGTTTCTTTTTTCTTCTAACAGTTTAGTTAATGAGTGATAGTCTTTAGCATACTGTTTTCTGTAATCTCTTCATGCTCTTTTTAGTATTATTCCTGTCATGCCCCTGTCGCATACTCCTTGTTCCTGCGCCATTTCAGTTTACTTTACCAAATCTCACTAGCAGACATCTGAGCATTTCCACTTTGTAACCATCAAGTGAGATAATATACCTAGTTGCCCATTAGTTCTGTATGTGTGGTATTATGTATTTGTGTGTTTGCAAAAATTGATCTGGTAAGATACATACCAAAAGCTTTTAACAGGACCTTTTGTTGGAGAAGTGAGTTTAACTGTGGACCCAGTGGACTTTAATTTTTATTCCATATACTCAATATTGTATTGTTTTAATTTTTTAACAGTAAATTTGTAAACACGTCATAAAATGGAATTTTAACACTTATAAAAATGGAATTTTAAAAGGATATATACTGTGTTCATGTTTAGTACATAATCTGTTTTGTGCTAAAATGTGGTTTGCCATTTTCCATCTTTTTCATAGGACATCATGGCGACGTGGGAGCACCTATAGCTGATGTTATTCTCCCTGGTGCTGCTTACACAGAGAAGTCTGCTACTTATGTTAATACCGAGGGCCGAGCTCAGCAGACAAAAGTAGCAGTGACGCCTCCCGGCTTGGCAAGAGAAGACTGGAAAATTATAAGAGCCCTTTCTGAGGTATTTGTCCTTAGTGGTGCTGCTAGTAGGATGTTTGACATGTTAGCTTGTCAGAATGATTTCCATAGTCAAGGGGGATACAAATCTGAAATGCAGAGGTGATTTAAACAGTCTGTAGGAGAGACATGAGAAACCCCAAACAGGGGTTTGGGAATTCCCTGGTAGTCCAGTGGTTAGGACTCTGTGCGTTCACTGCAGAAGGCACTGGTTTAATCCCTGGTCAGAGAACTGAGATCCTGCAAGCTATGTGACTTGGCCGAAAAAGAAAATGGGAATTTGAAATTGGTGTTTTTTATTTTTGACTTGTCTTTTGCCTTAAAAGACTCAACTCTCAACTCTTATTGTAAAAAGAAGCATCATGAGATTTAAAGTAATAATATACAGTTGTCTATAAACCTTGTATATGAGCAATAACAGGTTAGCTGAAATATTCAGATTTAGCAAAGCATTTATTTCATGATCATTCTGATTTCGAAAAATAAACTACTAATGTGTTGACAGCTACTTATGAATTAGACGAATATTCTAATATTCCCCACTTAACCACTTGCTTAATATACATGCAAAGGGACACCAGTATATTTTTCATACTAGTACTGCCTTATTTTACCATAGTTGCGGTGATGTAATACTTGAAATTTATAAGTATAAATGCTTTGGAACCTGTTACGTTATAGATTGCAGGTATGACTCTTCCATATGATACCCTGGATCAAGTGAGAAACAGATTGGAAGAAGTCTCTCCTAATCTTGTTCGATATGATGATGTTGAAGGAGCTAATTATTTCCAGCAAGCAAGTGAGCTTTCCAAGGTAAAAACTTGTCTGTTTGCAGTTTTCATAATAATATATCCTCTGGTGTAGCAGTACTAGTTTTCAATACTATTACTGATCTCTTATTCCTTTTTTGCAGCTAGTGAACCAACAGCTTCTTGCTGATCCACTTGTTCCACCTCAGCTAACAATAAAAGACTTCTACATGACAGGTATGCAGTTGTTAGCATGACTGCCGTAAAGGGAAGGTGGGAAGGAATATAATCACCTAATTTAGTGTTATGATTCTCACCTGCTAGTGGTAATATTTGGTGTGTCTAATCTCACAAGATTTTTCAAATATCGAACTAATATAACTATATATTCTGATTTTACTCGAATTTCTTTTCTTTCTGAAATGTAAGTAGAGTTTGAAAATCCAGTAAGAATTAGCAAGTTTTAAATATAAACTTCTACTATCATATGTAGAATTACTATACAGCAATATGGGGATAATTTTCTGAGTGACAAAAAACTGAAGGTTTTTCTGAGAATTACAGTAAAAGAATGAAAACACTAAAGTGTGAAACGTGCTAAATGGTGCTTCTGATATAAATTGTTAAGAATATTCTTAAGGAATGCAGACTAACCTACAGCTTTTATAACACATGGTGGAACATCTAGGCTATGAGGTAGTTGATAGACATTTTAAAACAATTTTCTGTCTAAAAGCAGACAGATATTTTTTTAAGTTTTTGGTACAGTTTGTATCTAAGATTGTTTTTAACAGGATTTTTAGTTATGTTGTAAAAGTTATGTTCATTGTAGAATACTTACCTACGGCCACCATAGCAAGGGAAATACACTGCCATCCCAGAAATAACTATATTTATGTTTAACATGTTGGCCAGTCAATCAGGGACATACACATATATTTATTTAAATATAAATGAGATTATTCATTTACCCTGGGAGGGAGGGTTTGTATGGCTTTATCAAAATATAATTCACATACCATAAAATTCAACCATAAAGTATATGATTTATGGATTTTAGTACACTGTTCTGTAACCTTTTTTTCAATAACTATATATGCATATTCTTTTCCTGTTGTTAATTCAACACTTTTCTATAATATTCTTAATGGTTGCATACTGGCCTTTTGTATGGCTATATATAATTATTTAATCATTCCTATGAGTACTTATTAAAACTATTTAGCTGTTATGGGGCTTATATTCTGAATTTATCAGTTGATTTTTACAGTATTTACATATTGTTGCATAGACTCTGATAGTCTTTTTGTTGTTTGTGGTTCCTAAATATGCGCAATAGAAAGTTTTACTGTGTGCCTCTGTTGAAGTTATATTATGAAAATGCACGTTTTCTTGATGTCTTTCAGATTCAATTAGCAGAGCCTCACAGACAATGGCTAAATGTGTCAAAGCTGTTACAGAGGGTGCCCATGCAGTAGAAGAACCATCCATATGCTGAAACATCTACTAAGGCCGAGCTAGTTAATGGACAGTTATGTTGGCACGATCTTTTGAAGGTGTATCTCTTTAAAAAATAATCTTGATGTAATATTTAAGGTTCTGCCATGCTTTATTTGAAAATGATATTGCAATTATCAGAGAACTTTGAGGTTTCACAACAATTATGTGTTGAGTGTAAATGTTAAATAGTTTAATAAACATTATATAGAGGCCTTTTCATGTAAAAAGCACTGATAATCTTCTTTGTGACATAAAAAAAAAATCCTTAAAATATGAATTTTTTTATCTTCATTGATCACTTACACTTGTAAAATGGATAAAATAAGAATAGCTTCCATTGCTCCTGTTTTATCCTAGTGCTAAAGAAAAGATTTAAGTATTCTGTCAAACTGGGTAAATAGCAGAAATATATATAATACAATCATACATCAGGTATGTATCTTGGACAACTCTAATAATAATCATAATAATAGCTTAATGATTATTCAGAACTTTCTGTGTACTAAGCACTCTGGTTTTACATGCATCATCTTGTTTTATCCTTGTTACATCTGTATAAGACTAGTATCTCATATTACAGGTGAAGAAACTGAAGCCCAGAGATACTGGATAGTTTGCCTGAGTTCACAGCAAAAAAAGTCATAGAATCAAACCTGGTTCTCTGACTTCAAATTCAAAGCCCATTATTCTTAAGTGTTGGACATAATTTCCTCTCATTAATACAGATTCCATAGGTCGTTACCTCTAAGAATTGGTATTGAGAAGCTTAATGGATAACACATTTTTCTGTTTTCTTCTTAAATCTGTTTATGCAATATAATGTCATGGTGATTTATGTTTTTTTTTCCTTTGTATAATAGATTGCACACACATCCCTTGAAATGAGTGAGGTCTCAAGAAATATAATTTAGGATCTCATTGATGTTCCATATTTATTATATTAACACCATCTGTAGTATTTAAGTCAGCTAAATTACTCTAGTAATAAAAGACAAAACTAACATAACAGCTTTCATAATTTTCAATTGTCCAAAAAAAAGTAAAAAACTTACAAGTAATCTAGGAGATGATCTAATGCTATATTAATTCTTTTCAGAATCTTATGTTCGGAATCATTTGTTTTATAATCCTTATTCCTTTTTGTTTTCACCAAAGATTTATTAGCCCAACTACAGGTTGCAATTTTACTGATATGAGAAAAGGTAAAATTTTTAGAATATAATTTGTCATCTCCAAAAATTCTTCAGAATTTGTCACCCATAACAGCTTTTTCAGAATTATTTTATTCATTTCAGTCATAAAGTTATGTACTTTGTTTTGAATTCTCAGTTGCCTAAAATATAACTTCTTACTGAAAGACTTTGAATTTAATACAAACTCCTTCTCTCTCTCTACCTTCTTACCCCTTAGCCTGTTGCTGACCTCACAGGGGCAAACACTTGCAGTTTTTTATTTTACACAATACTCTTCAGTGAATGAGTATAGACTTCATAGGATTCTTGGTGAGGGAATGTTGCAGTCAGATGGAGAAATGGTGATATGACTAAGATGGTCCAGGATCCTAGGGCTGCCATCTAGGCAGCATGCATGGAACTTGTAATTTCATAAAGGATATCTTGTCTGGGCTAAGTAGTATTCATTAAAATTTGTTGGTTTTGCGTAAAGTAAATATGAAAGTCTGACCCATGAGCACCTATCAGTCACTTAATAGAAAATATTAAGGTTGAAAAGTGAAAGTGTTAGTCGCTCAACTGTGTCCGTCTCTTTGCTACCCCATGGACTGTAGCCCACCAGGCTCCTTTGTCCATGGAATTCTCCAGGCAAGAATACTGGAGTGAGTAGCATTCCCTTCTCCCTTCTCTCGCCTTGCAAGCAAATTCTTTACCATCTGAGCCACCAGGGAAGAGCCCGTATTAAGGTTATTGTGAGCATAAACATCGAAGATGGTTGCAAGACTTCGTGAAGAATGGATCCAGATAGAAGAAAAATATGAATAGATAAGAAGAATAACACTGTTGATGGAATTTTGATTCTAAGCAATGAGGGAGTCAACAATGAAAAAACTACAAAGAATTAAGGCCAAGTCCCTTTAGGTGAAGATGGCAATCTAGAAAGACCCTGGAGAGAAGACCACTAATGTGTGCCATTAGAGCTTTAAGTACATTATGTCTAGTTAAAGCCATGCTAACAATCAGTATAAGACCCAAGAAATATCAAATAACTTGCCCATTTTTACCTAGTTAAAGACTAAAGGCAAAAATTTTTTAACTAGAGATATTTTTACTGTTCCATTTTGCCTCAAAAAATGTGGACAATTAATCAATATACAGGAAAAATCTTAAAAGCCTTAACTCCATACAGAACGCCCCTCAAATTTATTGTGAATTGTATTATAATGAATACATTAATAAAAAGCATTAATACTCAGTATGCAATAATTTACTATTGTTTGTTGCTGAGTTACAGGTCAGACAGATCTTGTTCAACTTTGGAAATGTTACTTAGAAAAATTGAAGATTGTTTCATCATCTGTAAAATGATAAAAATTCTAATGATTGTACCTACTTTGAACCTCACAGTGTTGTAATGAGGATTAAGTTAGAAAGTCTTCTTAGCCTATTTCTTGACATACAGTAAATGTTCAGTGTGGTTAATAACTCAGAACCATCATTATAGGGAAAGGGTGTGTTCAAAATTTTGCTGAGTTTCAGGAAGTTGCAGCTAACCATCTATGGGAGTCCTTGAAGTCCCCATTCTAAGTGAACCAAGTGAAAAACTCAATTCTGTTGATCGTGAGGGAAAGTCAAGCCTAATATAACCTCTAGCTTCTGTTTTCCTAAAGAAAACTATTTATTTAATTCAAGAGAATTGAATGACTTACCCAAGGTAAGTCCAATCAGCAGAATAATGCTACTGCAAACTATCCACCAGGGTTGTGAAGATTAATTTATTATGCAGAATTCTGCAGATTTTGATGGAATTTTTATTAGAATAAGACTTACTGAATCTGTTGAATGCTAACCCTTAAAAGAGATTATTCTGAAAGCAAAAACATAAAGCAGTGCTATCAGAAGAGGGAAAACTATGCTGATAGAAAGGGTACAGAAGGAGTGTGAGAGCTATTGATGGGCATAAAAGGGGACAGGAGGATTTTTTTTGCTAGCATAAGCCTTTGGCTGATATAAACTGTCAGCTTTATTGTTGCCCAAACAAATTAACTCCACCATGATTCAAGTTCCCAAGGAGAGAGGAACTAAGGCAACTTAGCAACCAAAGCAGTGATAAGAGGTAAGGTTTGCTTTGTTTTGTTTTTTTTTTATGTTAACAATGTCATTCATGACCGCTGTTAAAATGTCAATAGCAAAACCATTACAGACGCCTGTTACCAAAGGCCCAGTGTGGCTGGGAAAGAGTTTAAGCAGAAATAAATGATACGCATAGGTATGACAGTTCTTTAGGACATTTTGTAAGGCTAATCCTACCTTATAGCTAGACCATAGGTTTGTGATTGACCCAACTTTTGCAAACAAGTATTCTTCATGAAAAAAATGAACCTTGATAAAGACTTTTTGAAGCCAAAAAGATTAAAGATTTAATTACCTATAACTGATCTTCAAACTGATTGATGTTCAGAATCTCTGACATCTTTATATTTTAAAATAAAATGAAAAATATATGTGGGCATTGAAAAACAGGGTAAAATGCATGGTCTTGGAGTAGTGATTATAATATTTAACTTGAATTGGTTTGTAAAGAGATCATAAGATGAATAACAGTTTCCTTCTTGAAAGAAAGTGAAAGTGAAGTGTTCATCGCTTAGTCATGTCCGCTTTGCAAACCCACGGACTGCAGCCCTCCAGGACCGTCTATCCATGGGATTCTCCAGGCAAGAATATTGGAGTGGGTTGTCATTTCCTTCTGTAGGGTATCTTCCGTACCCAGGGATTGAACCAGGGTCTCCCACATTACAGATGGATTTGCTTACCTTCTGAGCCATTTCCTTCTTAGACATGTATTTTCGTATCTGAAAAGAACTAGAGGAAAAAATCTAGAATTACACATGCGTTTGATAATTACGGAATTGGAGGCCAAAGAGAATAAGGGGTAAATTAGGGAGAGGTTTCGTGATTTGAACCAGCCCTCTGACTGCTGGTTCAGTGACATCTCAAAGCCTTCAATTCAGCTCCAACATTTATTTAGCGTTTGCAGAGTATCTGCTGTGTGTGAGGTGTAATAAATACTAGGACTACAAGAGACATATATACATTTTTATTGTATATATTGTAAACATACACACATGTTTATTATGTGTGAAAAGCACCTTAGATGCAACTACCTCAGGGTAGTTGAACTAGTCTGAGGAAACAGCGTAAAGAAAAGGACTGTCGGGACCTCCCTGACAGTTCAGTGGTTAAGACTCTGCTTCCACTCAGGGGTTGCAAGTTTGATCCCTGGTCAGGGAACTAAGATTCCACATGCCATATGGCAAAAAAAGACTGCACTTCTATCACTTGAACATTTGAAGATCTTTACAATAAGAGTATATTGCTTTTATAATTTTTTAAAACATATAAATGAAGAATGGCAAAACAAAACTTTCAAGTTGATGAAAACTAAAAATAGGATACGAAGTTGTATGCATCCTCGGCATACTTGGCAGCCTCTAAGATGGCCCCAGTGACCCCTGCCTCCTGGGATTCACTCCCCTTTGTCATCATCTCTCCTTAAGTGTGGGCCAAGCTTCCTGATTCACTTCTAATGAGTAGGGATGTTTGTCCTGAGATTAGGTTTTAAACTTAATCTGTGATTTCGGTCTTGGGCTCCCTCTGATTCTCTCTCTCTCAGATCACTACCTGCCATGTTGGAGGATGCTTATCCTACAGAGAGATCTCGTGTGGTAAGGAAGAGGACTTCCAGCCACTGTTTGTAAGTGAGCTGAATCTTGGCTGCCAATTGAGATGACCCCAGCCCTAGCCAACAGTTTAATTGCAACCCCATACATTGGATTCCTGACCCAGAAATTGTGAGCTGATAAATACTTGTTGTTTTGAACCATTAAATTTTACATTATTTTGTTATGTAGAAATAGTACAGGGATTTCCCTGGTGGACTGACTAGTGGTTAAGAACCCACTTTGCAACACAGGGCACATGGGTTCTATCCCTGGTGGGAAACTAAGACCCCACGTGCTGTGGGGCAGCTGAGCCCACGTGCCACAACTAAAGAGCCTGTGTGAGTCAACACAGCTAAATAAATGTTTTTAAAAAAGGGGATAGTACACTATGATTACACCCAGGCAAAGGCCAGGGTGACCCAAGTCTAATAACTGACTTGTGGGATTATAAAGGCCTGGCCATCTAGACCTGGTGGAAGACAAATGCGAAGGGCTGTTTTAGTGTCCAGGTCTTCTATGGGCCTGACTGAGGCTGTCATTGACCCTGCATTGCAGTTTCACTTTGCCCTCTGCCCACATCTGCCTTCTTTCCCCTCTTTACAGGTGCTGATCCCCATGAACTATTTATGAGTATTTTGCACATTGAGTTCGGCTCAGTGTGTGCTACCTGGGGAATTCAGTCTGTGACAGCCTTCTGGAATATCTGTGGATCCTACATAGCTGCTTCAATTATCACTATGTCTCAGTCAACAAGAAGCAGTAAGGGAGAGCAAGTGGAGGCCCAGCACTAACATTTTATTGACATGACTTGGAAATTGCATCACTTCCACTCACACACCACAGGCAAGACTCATTACCACACTCACCTGCAAGAGCGGACACTGGAAAATACAGCCTTTAGCCCAACAGCCATCTTTTCAACTAAAATAGATTCCAAAAGATGTTCCAGTTACCTTTTGCTATATAACAAACCACCCCGAAACTTAGTGGTGTAAAACAACAATTATTATGAGATTCCAAGGGTCTGAAATGTAGAAATGGCACAGAGAGATTGATCCTCAGCTGGGTGACTAGAGTACTGGGGGATGACTCGGAGAGCTGGGGGCTAGAGAAGCTCCGGCCGAAGCACTTTCAATCCGCAGATGGCGTCTTCACTTACATGCTTGGCTCCTGGGCTGGAATGATGGAAGGACAGGTACAGAGGGGGTTATCTCCCAGAGCATTCAGCATGACAGTCCCAGGACAGATGTACAACAGGGTGGTTCAGGGTTCCAAGAACCATAGTGTTCCTAGAGGCCAAGGAGGAAGCTGCAAGGCTTTTTATGACAACTTCAGAAACTATAGCATCACTTCACTGTGCTTTATTGGTCAAGCCAGTCTCAGAGCCCACCCAGGTTCAAAGGGAGAAAGCATACACCCTACCTCTTGACAGGAGGAGGGTCAAATGATTAAAACAGCCACAAGGATAGACATTGGGAGACGAGCCCTAAGATACCTACTGCAGTAGTGAAGAAGGAGATCTGGAGGGAAAAAAGACCAGTGAATTATAAAGTGAAGCTTCTATAACATACCAATTAATCTATACCTGTTTTCTCACTACTTACCACAACTCAACTGCTTCTGTATCCAGGATAGAGTTGATAAGTCTCCTGTCATATATAGGATAGAATGAAGACACTTTCCTTTGGCTCAAATTTTTTAAGCTTTTAAATAGAACCCAAGAACATTAGCACCTGTAACTGAGATGCTTTTGGGGGCAAAAAGGCTATTTATAGGAGGAAATGAGCCTTTGTGACTTTCCTCACAGATTGTCCAGTCTGAGTCGCTATAGATTGGGTAAGTAC